TTTTATAGTATCTCTAACAGAGTGAATTTCAATTGCAGTGGTGTGTCACTGTTAAAAGTGGAACATGTTACAAATAATGAGCTGCTTCAGTGTAATACTGACAGATTTTGAAGGATTTGCATTCAGAAAGCTAAATCTGATATGGCTTAATGTTCTTCCAGCTCCATTTCATCCACTTGGCTTCTGAGATACACTCAGAGGTGGAGAAGAAAGAGGTGCCATCACAGCCAGGAGGTCTTGAAAGTCATTCCATTTAGTCACCATGGAGTTGCTCATCTGGTCGTGAGAAGGGACTTGTGCTCTACAAACATGCCCTGTATTTGACACTAGAAAGAGTTGAGAATCCCATTATGCAATGTTTCCTCATAGTCTGTAGTTTGAGCATGGCATACCAATTTCACTCTATTGTCACTGCACTTAAAAATGATTTTGGTGGAGACATAATGCACTTCCCATTCTATACCAGATCCTCTGCTGATTTTTCTCTTATTCTCTCTCATACCATTCTTCAGTGAGTCTTTGTCATAGGCTTGCTTCTACCCTGAGGAGATTTCCTCATAACTTCTACTAGATACTTCCTCTCTCCTCCCTCTTGCCTCTTGTGTGATTTCAGAGCCTTGCCAGATTAGTGAGTTGACTCTAACTTCTTCTCACCCTCTACACTGCCAGTTTTCACCAGGTGCACCAGCAATTTCTTCATCTCTATTGAGCCTGGCATAGGCTGTGGTCAGTTAGGGTCAGTGAGTGAGTGGTCACTGGTCACTCTTTCCAGGAATGATATTTCATTTTCATTGTGGTTCTGAATGTTTGTGTCTACCTTGATTCTCACATTGGAATTGTAATCCTTGATGTGATGGTATAAGGATGTAAATGTACCATTATTATTTCAGGAGCGCCCTCAGAAATGTGGTTAGTGCTCTCGTAGAAAAGCTCTGAATGTTACCTTACCATCTCTATCATGTTAAGACCCAACTAGAAGAATCCATTTGTGGATGCAGACACAGAAATTGTCAGTATCACTATTTTGGATTTCATAGACTCTGGTACTGTGAGAAATAAATTTTGCTGTTTATAAGTCATGCAGTTTATGATATTTTGCTATAGAAACTTAAATGGACTGGAGTCAGAAATAAATATGCCTTTCTGATACCCTGAGACTGAGTATAATATGCATAAGATATAAGAGAGTGAGGGTGAGCAATTATTAGAAAACCCAACTTGGAGTGATACCCAGCTGAGTGGCTCATTGGACAGGGAACAGTAGCTTCTCAGAAGATGTCCATGCAAGAATGTGGAGGGGAACCCTGGAACCAAGTTGTCTGTTACTATCTTGCCTTAGCATCTCTTCTGAATTTTAAAAGTTAGAGATTTCAGAAGCTGGAATTAGCAGATATGAAAGTAGTAATTTCCATTTAGTTTTCTCCTAACATATTCATTTCACTTTCTTGTCTGATGACTTTATTTGCCTTTATTCATTTACAAGTTGGTCCAGATATAGTGTTAGTTTCTGAAGATATAGCACCTGTTTTCAGCAAAGTTTCACAGGCTTGCTGAAGAGGTAGAGAAGGAGTAAACAGAACATTGCTATTCACTTGAGACTAGGACATAGTCCTCAAAGAGAACAACTCTGATACATGACTCAGTTTGAGTCCCAAAGGCCTCCCACCCTGCTTTGTGCTAAGGAAAATCTGCTGCCCTTTGCCCCATTCACATAGACAAAGACATCATAGAGTGAGTTAGAACATTTGTGCCTCTAGTGCGAAAATTCAAAATCAAGGACAAATTATTTGAATAGGTATGTGTGGAGGTGGGGAAGTGTTTAGAATTTTGACTGATGACTAAGAAAGGCAAGAAACTAATTTTTACTTTCCAAAGAAAAGTAAGTTTAAGGACTTAGTCAAAGTAGAGTTTTTGTTGGTCACAAACAAAAGAGGTATCTTTCTGGTTACTTTGTGTAATGTTCAAAAAACCCTAAGAAAACACAAGGGAGGGAAATGGAGAGATTTCTTATTTTATGAAGCAGTTACTTAAACGGGCAAAGAGCAGTGTGTGTGTGTGTGTGTGTGTGTGTGTGTGTGTGTGTGTGTGGGTGTGTGTGTGTGTGGGTGTGTGTGTGTGTGGGTGTGTGTGTGTGTGGGTGTGTGTGTGTGTGGGTGTGTGTGTGTGTGGGTGTGTGTGTGTGTGTGTGTGTGTGTGTGTGTGTGTGTGTGTGTTGGAATGGGGGAAGACTGAGAGAGGGACATGTTCTTTCCATGTGTGCTGATCTTATCTCACCAGCTCTCCCTGCTGTACTTCCTGCCCCAGGACTAGGAGCCAATATATTTTCCATAGTAGCTTCTACAATTCTCATTTGCTTTTAGACTTACCTTGGAAATACTTGATTGTTTCCCTCAGATTAGATGCTGTTACATTCTTTGTACCCTAGGTACAACATTTACATACCTCAATCATAACACAAATTCCCTTGTTTCATAATTGGTCCATTCACCTGTGATAGCTATTTGCTTATGAGGATACATGACTACATAGTGTTACTGTCACTTAGTACAGGATCCACCCATATTACAAAGTCATACATTTAAGGTCTTGTTCTGCTACTACATGATAAATTATACAACTTAGTCAAGTTATATAACCAGTGAGTCTCAATTTTCTCATAAAATAATGGCAGTACCTGTCATAAAGTGTTTAGTTATAGATATTAAATGAGACAGTATACATATGAAGAGACAGTGACTGGTTGGTCACTCAGAGACCATCACCTGTCATGCAAGTATTCAGGAAATGTTCATCTTATGACCTTAGTGAATACCTTCATTGGAGTTTTTTTTTTCTTTCTTCAGCTGCATGCTTGTTGTATTTTAGTAATTCCTATTCCTGATACCTAAAAAATGAAGATGTTTAGAAAGACTTCAGGCATTCCTATCTTTAAAACTCTCTGGGCCATAACAGCATATAGAAACATAATTCATATAATTTCCACATGATCCAATTAAAACATCCAAGCTTCAATACAACCACTATCTCCAATATATTATTCAGACTCATTTTTCATCTTCCTGGAAGCATTCCACAGCTACTCTGGATTGATCTCACAAATTGCTTTTGGGAAACTGGTCCTAAGATTGTATGCCATCAGCCTTAACTTCCACCATATGGAGCAACATCCTTCCTATGAACCTACAGTAAGTCAAAGTGACAGGCTTCTGGTACCTGCGAAGTTGCTCAGTGACCTCGCCTATTGTGGAGGTGAATATGACTGCTTTCAGTCTGCCCTCACATTTGCTGAAATGGGCTGTAACATGGAATGAATTGGAACATGAAGCTTCTCTATGGCTGCCTGGAAGAGGGGAGGGCGTCCCAGGTAAATTTATTCCTGCCACAGCTGAAGCTACATTCATTGGAAGAAGTTAAGGAATCCAGACCCCATACCAGGTTTAAATTTGTGAGTTTTTTTTATAAAATTTTTATTTCACTGATTACAATTTAGATTTTTCCCTTCCAATATTTAAAAAGTTAAACAAGAAAAGCAAGTCCTTCAGGTATCCTTGAAGGAGCCAACAACCGCTAGGTGAGTGCACACAGGGCATGTCTATAATTTAGCTCAGGAATAATTAATTGAGAACCACAAAAGAAGGCAGCCCAATAGGGCCCTTGAACAAAGCTGCCAGCAGAGTATGGCAACCCGGGTGCCAACAGAGCAGCCCAGATTGGATCTGCTCCAGTAGTTGGACCTTTGCCACAAATGCCAGTGCTTGCTTGGCCCATCAGGGGCGTTAAGAGACCTGACTATCACCTGACCTATTGACTGACTCACTGACTCTCTGTCTGTCTCTCTGCGACCTAATTCTCTCTCTCTCTCTCTCCCTCCCTTCCTCCCTCCCCTTCCCCCTTCCTCCCCCTCTCTCTGACCTAACCTTCATTTCTGTGGATTTGTGGGAATTGCATACTCATATCTATGTCCCATAGGCATCTGACAAGCTAACTACTCATGAAGCTACCTGAAAATCCATCTGTGGTTGGGTCTCCCTTTTTGGGGCACACTTTTCTGCCTGGGGGCAAGGTAGTGTGGAGTGCTGTTCTTAAAAACATAGATGGATGTGGTAAAGATTGAACTACTAAGATAAAGGCTTCTCCACCTCTGCTCACCCCACACGGAGCCTCTAGTCAAGTCTCATTTCTTGAAGCAACAGGTTCACGGAGGGATCCCTTCTGCTTTTCATGGTCTCCAACTCCAGCCGTTTTGCAGTCTGCTTGTAATTCTTCAACTGTCTCCCCTAGGGACTTCTGTGCGGCAACATCCAGGCACCGCCCGGCCCCAGTTTTGGGCACTCTCCCTTCCAGTTATTCAAGGGTAAAGTCCATCTTTATCTCGCCCTGAGCCTAACCAGGGAACTGAGGCTGCAGACCAGGAAGGCTGAGAGACTATCCAAGGGGGTGCGCGCCCAGGCGACAGGAGGGTTCTGGGACCAGCAATGTCGCTGGAGTTTGTAACCGCGTCCCACTCCCAAACATTCTCCCGGGGCGCGCGAGGGAGGGGCGGGGGGCGCGGGGGGGGGCAGAGGACCGGTGCCTGGGGAGACGAAGAGAAATGAGGGCAGGGAGGGAAGACGTCCCAAACCATCGACCCATTTTTTGGACTCCATCTCCCGCCGAAGCCCATCTCCCAACCTCTCTAGGGGCACCTGTGCTGCCGTCGGGACTCAATTCCAGCTCCAACAGGGACATCTCTGCCTCCGGGATTTGCTCCTTGCCTCTGGGGGTGACCGCTAGGCGCTCCCGGGTTGGTTTCCAGGAGCCGGGAGACCGGGGAGCTGGGCTGGGAGTGGGTGGGGTCGCAGCGTCGTGACTGAGCCCGCCCAGCCGCTCCTGGAGGCGCCCGGGGCGACAGCCCTGAAGGCCACACCCTCGGCCCGGCCTGGCCCCGCCCCCGCCCGTGCCCATCTCAGCCTGGGGAGGCGTGTGCTGCTCCTGCAGCTAGCGAGAGAGGGAGACAGGGATGGATCCTGGAGAAGGAATTCAGGCTTAACAAGTGATCGCTGCTGTCTAGGATTTTGTGTCTTTTTCGGGGGAACCTTGACTTCCGTTCCTAGCCCTGTTCTGATGTACCGAACTCTAGAAGAAACAGGAATCTTGGGGGTCTTCCTTGGGGCATGCCCAATCCCCATCCCCGGGCTCTGTAAAGAGGACTCTGTGACCCTCTGGCCAAGGCGACAGAACTTGTTCCGTGGATATTTTGGAGCCTCCACCTGCCAAACCCTAGTGATTTCTTTCACCGCGCCCCCACCCCCCATCATTCTGCCCCTCCTCCAGCTGTTGCAGCTTTAAGGGGAAAAACAAACCACCGGGGGATTTTTCTCTATTTTTATTTTTCGCACTTGCTGGGAATGGTAAGTATGATACCTTTCTTATCTTTCCTCCACCCTACTCATTTGGCTGTTGAGAAACTGTGGACATTTGAGGGATAAATAATATCGAGAATGTGACAGAAGGGCATGAATGGAAGGCGGTTAAAAATAAACCAGGAGGTGGGAGAAGGGAGGTGCAGATGTTACAGGGCGCTCCAGGGGCAACCCAGGGGATGGGGCGACTTCACCCTGCTTAATGTGCTGGAGCGGGAATCAGGGTCTGGAGGCCAGGGCGCAATTAAAGATGTCGTTCCCCAGTGAGGTGGGGTTTAGATTCAGTAGCATTTTGCTTCATTCCAGCCTCACCGGTTCCTCTCCTTTGCGAACAGCTGATGAGCCTGTCAGTTTTACTGCTTCTGCCTACATTAGGCATGCATTTTCCGAGTATTTGAGCAACCCGTAGGGACTGGATAAATGGCGTGCGTTGAAGTATGTTTTTTCGGTGCTGGGTTTCCGGATTCTTTTTTTTTTTTTTTTTCCTTTGCTTTGCTTTCTGCCTCACAGATAAGGTTCAGGTACCACCCTAACACAGTTGCAAGAATTAGCATCCAGTGATGAAAACAACCTTGCTGTTGGGGATGAGAGAAGAGAGATCCCTGGCTGGTGTTCAGGAGCACAGAGATTGAGGAATAGGTGCTTTGCAAAATCTTCTTAGTTTAATGATGTTAAAGAGGAAGGGGGAAATCCCCTGCAGAGGTGTCTTGCATAAAGGCTCCCAAGAGTCTGCTTGTAGCTCTTAGCATGGATACCAGGAGAAACAGAAGAGATTCTGTTGGGGATGAGAGAAGAGAGATCCCTGGCTGGTGTTCAGGAGCACAGAGATTGAGGAATAGGTGCTTTGCAAAATCTTCTTAGTTTAATGATGTTAAAGAGGAAGGGGGAAATCCCCTGCAGAGGTGTCTTGCATAAAGGCTCCCAAGAGTCTGCTTGTAGCTCTTAGCATGGATACCAGGAGAAACAGAAGAGATTTGAAACTAGGCCCTCCCTCCCTCCCTCCTTTCCTTTCTCTCTCTCCTCCTTTTCTTTCTTCTTTTCTTTCCTCCTTTCCTTACTTAGGACTTATTTAATCATATATACAAACTTTTGTGTGTGTGAAGGGGAGAAGAAATTGAGCAAAGTCTCAGGCTTTTTGACCTGTGCAAATCTTAAGGATGTTGGATGACACACCACAGTGAATGTAACCCCAGGACCATTTTGTAAGTAATGACTTGGAGACCCTTCCAATGTTAGCATTTCTGAATGTAAGATGATGTGAGGAGTCAGGCAGAGGAAGGGATGACACCTGGGATAACTTCAGAGGTGTATTTTCTGGGTTTTTTTTTTTTTTTTTTTTTTTTAGTCCCAGTCAAGGAAGAGCAGTTGACAAGTCTTCTATGTGCCATTTTCCTGTGTGTCTTGTAGGCTGCAGGACTGGGAGGATCAGCAAGGAGCAGCAGGTGGTCAAGAGACCAATCCTTAATGACTTCAGAAAGCCATTGCTCTCATGCTGCCCAAGTGCTTCCAGTAATAGAAGCTGGAGGATGCCCTGAATTCTGTCATCATCCTCTCCAATTCTCTAGGTCACTTTCTGTATTCTTAGAAGTCCCTCTTGGACAGAGTAAATGGAAGAAGAAAGAGGAGCGTGGAGATAGGGGCAGGAGGTTTTATAAGCCCTGGTTCAGGATACTAATTCACAGGACTTGGGAGAGCAAACTAAGCAAGAAGGGCCAGGAATAGCAGATGATCCTGATGATCTGTGAGGAATGTGTGAGAGGAAAGTAAAGGGTTGGAAAAAAAAAAGTAGTAGACTGAGTCCTAGGGTATGAGTAACCTGGATAAAATTATAAGGGGGGAAGTGTATAGAACAAGAACAGCATTTACACACATTGGGACTTCAGAAGAGTGTAGCAGGGGAGCTCAGAGGAACTGCAAGGTTAACTGCAAGGATGGCTACTAAGAGATTTGGAAGTTGGAATTTGCACCTAGGGAGTGGGTGGCAGGGAGTGTTCAGGAAGCTGGAATAGAGAATAAACAACAGGGGCATGTTTCAGGGAGTCAGAGAATGCCAAAGTCACGCAGGCACTGGTGAGTGTCAGGATGTCCTAGGTGAGCTCACATTGCATCTTTCTCTATGTTAGACAGTGGCAGAAAATGTGAATTCTGGGAGGGGGGTATGAGTAGACAGACAGTAATAACTTAGGTTAATGCCATGTTATTCATAACTGCCATGTTTATTGCTATTCAATGTGTGCAAGGCAGTGTGCTATTCTAACAATACCCATGCTCATGTTTGGTCTTTATAGAGGAGGGCTGAAGGGGATGGATTATATTATCTATACTTTATAGATGAGGTGGTTGACATTCATCCAAGCAGTGAGTCTAAACTAAAGAAAACTGGTTTCTCTCACTTCCCTAATCCTGAGTCAAGACAATAAAGACTGGAAGGGTGCTTAATTCAGCCACATTTTATGAGCAATACATTTCTTAAATGCCTTGAGATGAATGACGTAAACAGCTATAAAGTAATATTATTGTTATTGTGGAATGAAGAGAATGGTAGTGAGAACTGAAACCTCACTTTCATGAAAGGGAAGAGGGAAGCAGGAACCATGTGGATTGAGGATGGAGAAAAGAAAAATAAGTTGCCATAAAAGTAGACTGAGAAAAAATAATAATCAAAGAAGAAAGAATAATGTTGAATGAGGAGGGTTAAGAGCAGCCTACCCCCCCCCCACTCTTGAAAATTGGTGGTCTCTTGGTGTATATTACATGGATTGCCCGGAGACAAGAGCAGAAATATGTATGAAGTAAAATGCTGTTTGCGCTCTATGGTTTGATCCTTTTTATTTTTCTCCTATGCTTGTTTCCCATCCCATTTCAGGTGAAGTGCTTCTTCTGAATGATTCTAGCCAAAGGATGCTCTTCATTTCCTTGATTTCTATGGAGACCTCAGAACTGGGTTTGCCTCTGCTGGCACCTCATCTTCTACCTTCTATACCACCCAAGGTCTTTGCGTCTGTCTACAACTTGGTATTACCTTTGGGTCCAGGAAGCTACTGATGACCTAAGAGGGAGAGGCTGGGTAATCATCCTCATAGACTTTGAGCAGGAATGGCTGGGCATACTTTAAGTCACGTCTTGACATGGGTCAAGTCATCAGGAGAAGGCAAGTGCTAAGACTAAAGACTTATTTGCATCTTATTTAAATTAGATGGATTGTGCTTTGGACAATTTCCATGCAGAAAAATATATTTCATTTTCCAGACACAACTGCTGGCTGTCAGATACTTGCTGCCTTTGTGTCTTGTAGCATATTCACCAACCACAACCCTTGAACATCTACCCTAAAACGTAGGTGTTTGGGAGTCCACAACATTTTATGACTTATGTTTGAGGAGCACTAGGCTGTTTGTCTAGACTAACTAAGCTCTGGAAAGCAGTGCTGAATTTCTGAGAAGAGAGAGCATGGGGTGTGCTGATTTAAAAACAGAAAATGCAAAGTTGGACTGAAAATATCCTCAATCTTCCAAGCAATCTGCTTAAGGGTTCCAAACTTACCTTAATTTGGTGAGAAAAGAAGCTGCCCTATTTTTCTTTCTTCTACAACTGGAACCAGCCATTTCCCAAAACCATCACCATGGAGGTTGCAATGGTGAGTGCAGAGAGCTCAGGGTGCAATAGTCACATGCCTTATGGTTATGCAGCCCAGGCCCGGGCCCGAGAGCGGGAGAGGCTTGCTCACTCGAGGGCAGCTGCAGCTGCTGCCGTAGCAGCTGCTACAGCTGCTGTTGAAGGTAGTGGGGGTTCTGGTGGCTCTCACCATCACCACCAGACACGTGGAGCCTACTCCTCTCATGACTCGCAAGGTAGCCGGGGTAGTCGGAGGAGGAGGCACCAGCGACCTGAGAAGAAGAAAATCCATCATCGGCAGAGCAGTTTCCCTCATTGCTCTGACCTGATGCCTAGTGGCTCTGAAGAGAAGATCCTGAGGGAGCTGAGTGAGGAAGAGGAAGATGAGGAGGAGGAAGAAGAGGAGGAAGAAGAGGGAAGGTTCTACTATAGTGATGAAGACCATGGGGATGAGTGTTCCTATACAGACCTGCTGCCTCAGGATGACCGGGGTGGTGGTGGCTACAGCTCAGTCCGCTACAGTGACTGTTGTGAACGTGTGGTGATCAACGTGTCTGGGCTCCGCTTTGAAACCCAGATGAAGACTCTGGCCCAGTTTCCAGAGACTCTGTTGGGAGACCCCGAGAAGAGGACTCAGTACTTCGACCCTTTGCGCAATGAGTATTTTTTTGATAGGAACCGGCCCAGCTTCGACGCCATTTTATATTATTACCAATCAGGAGGCCGCCTGAAGAGGCCGGTCAATGTCCCCTTTGACATCTTCACGGAGGAGGTAAAGTTCTATCAGTTAGGAGATGAAGCCCTGCTCAAGTTCCGTGAGGACGAGGGCTTTGTAAGAGAAGAGGAGGACAGGGCTCTGCCCGAGAATGAATTTAAAAAGCAGATTTGGCTTCTCTTTGAATATCCGGAGAGCTCGAGCCCTGCAAGAGGCATAGCCATCGTGTCTGTCCTGGTCATCCTAATCTCCATTGTTATTTTTTGCCTGGAAACCTTGCCGGAATTCAGGGACGACAGGGATCTCATCATGTCCCTTAGTGCAGGTGGACATAGCAGGTTGCTGAATGACACGTCAGCACTCCACCTGGAGAACTCAGGGCATACGATATTCAACGATCCCTTCTTCATCGTGGAGACAGTGTGCATTGTGTGGTTTTCCTTTGAGTTTGTAGTTCGCTGCTTTGCTTGTCCCAGCCAAGCACTCTTCTTCAAAAACATCATGAACATCATTGACATCGTCTCCATTTTGCCTTACTTCATCACTCTGGGCACTGATCTGGCCCAGCAGCAGGGGGGCGGCAACGGCCAGCAACAGCAGGCCATGTCCTTTGCCATCCTCAGGATCATTCGTCTGGTCCGAGTATTCCGGATCTTCAAACTCTCCAGACACTCCAAAGGCCTGCAGATCCTGGGCCACACCCTCAGAGCCAGCATGCGGGAACTGGGCCTTCTGATCTTTTTCCTCTTCATTGGGGTCATTCTCTTTTCCAGCGCTGTGTATTTTGCAGAGGCCGATGAACCCACTACCCATTTTCAAAGCATCCCTGATGCATTTTGGTGGGCTGTGGTAACCATGACAACCGTGGGCTATGGGGACATGAAGCCCATCACGGTGGGGGGCAAGATTGTGGGGTCCTTGTGTGCCATCGCGGGTGTCTTAACCATTGCTTTGCCAGTGCCAGTGATTGTGTCTAACTTTAACTATTTCTACCACAGAGAGACTGAAAACGAGGAACAGACCCAGCTGACACAAAATGCAGTCAGCTGCCCATACCTCCCTTCTAATTTGCTCAAGAAATTTCGGAGCTCTACTTCGTCTTCCCTGGGGGACAAGTCAGAGTATCTAGAGATGGAAGAAGGGGTTAAGGAATCTCTGTGTGCAAAGGAAGAGAAGTGCCAGGGAAAGGGGGATGACAGCGAGACAGATAAAAACAACTGTTCTAACGCAAAGGCTGTGGAGACCGATGTGTGAATTGCTTTCTCCAGCCGCCACTGCCCCCCCAACCCCTCCCCCGCCAGTATCTCCAAATATATTTATGCATAGAGAGTGCAGTTATGAAAATGAAATATGCAAATGATTGCACTGCATACAGTAGTACGCTGTTTAATGGTAATACATGGCATAATTGTTACTAAACTTGTATTACATATCAAATAAATGATACATCTTGGAGAAGAGGGAGGCTTAAATAGAGCAGATCTATCTTTATATTTTTAAATAGAATGCAAGAATTTTGCACATAACTGGGAAATATGTTAATAGTAAAGATGGTCCTATGGAGAGCAAGTGTGTGTATGTGAGCGTGTGTGCATGTGGGTGTGTACATTTAAGTAAATTGTCAACATTGTTGGTAGTTGTGCTGTGATGGGAAAAGTTGGCATTTTGAAGTATTTACTATGTAAGAATTATTGAATTTGAACAGTCATTTATCAATGCTTTAACAGCATCTCCTATGTCTTTTATTCTGTAGTTGTTTTTTAGAAATTGTAAGAATTACTGTGTAGAAAAAAAGAGAAAGTAAATTATTTAATAGAATATAGGTCACAATTTAATCTTGGATTTAATTAAAGTTTATTTTTAACTGGAAATTAACTTTTGAAAAGGCTGCAGGGGCCTTTAGAAATTGATTATATTTTATTATTAATTTTGGGAAGATATGACAGCAAATGCCTAACATTCTGGATGACATGAAATTGGAGTAAATGTAACAAGTTTTGTTCACAGGTAATAGGACTGGATTATTTTCCTTTGCACTACTTTATATGTTGAAGACTGAGAGAGACTTCATACTGTGAATGTTTACTAATGTACCAGTTCAATGACAATCATTGGAAGAATGACTTCTTAGTCCTATTTTGTTGCTCTCTTCTTTTCCTTGTGTGAAACTAATGACCACACAGATAACAGCACATGATTTTCTCCTGTTTTAAAATCTGAATAACTGATCTACAAAGGGACTATGAAGTAAAATTTAGCAATGGAGTCTTTTGAAATTGGTTTGTTACAATGATGCGTCAGAAACTATACTATTTTAAATATTCTTCTGCCTTTTAAGTCCAGAATAATTTAACCAAAGTTAATGCATGCATTGAAAGAATTCTTGAAGAAATAAGATGCCCAGCAGCTACAGCGATTATGGCTTAAGATCTTTCTATTAAATATGCAACAAAAACACTAGATTTAAGTTCATTTTGTGTTGGTGTGTGTGCATGTGTGTGCGTGTGTGTGTGTGTGTGTGTGTGTGTGTGTGTGTGTGTGTAGCTGCAGAAGAGCAAAATGGGGAAGTTCACCTCAAATGCTAAAAGCATTCTATTTGCTAAAATGGATGTAAGGAAAAATTGTGTCAGAACATTTGGTTTCATCGTCGTATTGTTACGTTTATCACAGGATTTTTCTGACTAGTGTGCTTGCATTTGACTCATAACAGGTGTTCTAGAATGTGAGCCAGCAACAAGTGATCAATCTTACACCACTAGATCACCATGAAATACGGATCAGACTACTCAGTGCACATACATAAGAGGCCTTACTATCCAACTTATTAACATTTTTTTTTTTTCTTTACAAAATGGCTACCTGGAGCTTTGGGGTGAAAAAGTCCATGCAGACTACAGACTATTTCAACCCATAATGAACCCTGACAGATGTGAGCAAAATCCAGAAAAGAGAAAAGAAAAAGAAACAATCCCTTTTCCTTATAAATGCCTTCTCAAACTCTCAGCACAGGCAATCAGTGGTTGAATTATTTCTCCTTTAATGGTATTTGAAATTAAAAAGGTTCCAATGTTAAAGTTAAAAGTAACTTGACACCTTTCTCCTGCCCTTCCCTCACCACCTGCAGGGAAACTCTTTTTCTAGAACTCCATTTGGAGAAGGAAAAGCAGCAAGCAGCAGAGGTGGTTGAAAAAGACAATGTCCCCTTGTGGTCAAGACTTCAGAGATGACTTCCTCATATACTGTGGATTTGGAGCAAAAATGTAATTAGCATTTGACCAGTTTGGTCATGATTCCTTTGCAAAGGTCACTTAAACATGTCTGTGCCAAAATGTCTTTATTAGCAGAAAAGCATGTTAAATCACAAGATTAGTGAAAGCAAAGGAGATCATGAAGACTTTGAAATGTTGAGTTTCATACAACTCCTTGATATGGTTTCTAAATTACTTAATATTTCTCTGGGAAACAATGGGATTTAGAATCCTCAAGTTTTATATACCTTTGTCAGGATACTGTTAAAATCATGGATAATTTTTTAAATGATAATATCCTGGTAAGTTGATTTAAAGACATAAAGATAGTCAGCTATGGACTATTTTGGAGGTTTTAAATTTGTTTTTCTTTTGGGAGAAGATCTCAGGGAAGACATAGTATAAATATTTACTATAGACAAAAGACTGGGTTTCTTATGTAGTTCTCAACCGGATCAGATTATATTTGGAGATAATTGAAGAATTCTCTAGTGTAGGGCATTTATTGAGGATTTTATAGTAATAATAGCAGTGTTTTGGCTATCATAAAAAGAGGAATACTGAATTTCATTGTTTCTGTGACATTTCCATTGTAAATCAGAAGTTATTTTAAGTGTATTTGATGATTGATGATACAGATTATATTGACAATTCTGCAGATTCATGAGATACAGTTATTTAGAAATTCAGGGGCTTGTCTTTATCCCATAGGATATTTTTAGGACATAAAATTGACAAAACTTCCAGACATTGACTTTCAAGTTAAATATTATTAGGTTGCCATTAAAGTTTGCTCTTTTTCCCTCATGCAAGGTGCATTTATCTTAGCGCTCATGGATTTTGATTCTACATTGAGAAGAAATCTTTTAAGCCCCTTAGCTGTGGGTAGGGCATTTCTGTTTGGCACATTTCTTCATATGATGGCGGGGTGTTCAGTACAGCTGTGAACTGATAGTTTTTCAAGTTGACTCTAAGCAAAGTGCTTTAGAGGCATTTGTGAGAATTTCATACTGAGTAGAATGCTTCCAGGGGCTCTGTGCAAACTGATTTAGGAGATTGTATCTTCTTAGAGGCCACCATACAGGTTTGGTGGGAAGATAAAAAAGTGGTGACCCCACTAGGGATCAGGCTTCTTGGGGTCAGGGGTCCTTTCAGCTTTGTTTTCAGATGATGCTGTTACCCAAAGCACCTTATTTGAGGGTCATCTTAATCAGAATCTTTTCAAAGGTGGAAGCATTGTTCTTTCTTACAAATGCCTGAAAAGGAAACCATTATGCCTAACAGTTATGGGCAAGAAAATTTCTGTGAAAGGGAACTGGTAGGCACCAGAGGACTGACAGCTTGTCAGGGAGTTAGAGAGCTGGTTTGTTAATAGTGAGCAAAGAATTTCATTTCATTTTTCAGGGTTCTTTATTTCTTCTTTTTTTAAGTGTAAAGTTAGGATATTGGGCTACATCATTGCTTGGTCCTTTTCAGGACCAATGTTCTACCATGGAGTCAAAACACTAAACTAGTTTGATATTTCCTATGTACCCCCCAAATGATACCAGTTTGGATGTTTTAATTAAATAACAAAAGCCTAATAGTTGTTATTGTTGTTAGATTTACTGAAAAGCCATGAGTCTGGGATTTGTAAAATATAAACTAAACTGAATGAATAAGATGTATTTTGAAGCTCTCTATTCTATGAACTTCTAAAGCAAAGGGATTCATTTAATGAAAAATAATTCCTCTGTCTCCAGTTGAATGTATATGGTAAAGGCTGGTAAGTAAATATTTTTATTTCTTGCTTTGCTGACATACAGTGTTGTCATTAAACAGAATATTCTGACCTGTGCCTGAGAACTCATTTTATGCTTAGATACATGTAATGTTTCACAAGTGTTATTGCATTCCTTGTCAAATTTGTGTTAAATAGGACCATTGAAGCTCTGTAAAAATCTTTTCATTAAGCATACATGTGTTGAAACAGAACCCAAACTATGAAAAAGATATAACTAAGAAAAATATTCTGAATTAACATATTTAGTGTCCTAGTTTATTAAAACTTCTCATTAACTAATGGGAATTTTTTTAATCAGGTTTGAATAGTAACAGGAGCACCCTACCATATAACAATCAGAAATGGTGTTATCCATTGTTAATTTTCAGGGCACTGATGTCTCTGTAATATTGACATTGCAATTTTTACTAGGTAAATGAAAAATATATGTAGAGTCTATTTGCATTTTTTAGTGATCCTGTGATGATGTGCTCGTGTGCACCATGCAGAGTGTAACACCACTCTTTGTGTTTTTTTTTTTTTTTTTATTGATACAGTTTAGAATGATTACGGGTTGTCATTCAGTGACAAAAGGGCCTGTTCCAGGAAATCTTCTTGACCCAAAAGTCATTCTGAACTCTGCAAGGGACACTTGATGTGGACAAAAGGTACCTCTTGGTTTTCCTGCCAAAAAGAATCTTGATTCTAAGTATAGACTTTTTCAGAACAGTGTAGGCTTTGTGTGTTAACCACAGTCCTGTTTTCTGGTACTGGGTTCAGCATTCCTATTTGGAAAAGGCTAATAGTCTTTGTTCAAGGCTGAAGGAACCAAAGCTATTTTTATAATAACTGGGAATATGTATTTCTGAAAAGTAAATTAAGATTAGGCCCATGATATGAATTTATTTCTGGCTTGGTTGTCTGTTTCCATAGCAGTCCTGATTTCTCAAAGTATCTTATTTATGAAAGTATGCTAATATGTATCAGGCCATATGGCCCAATTTGAAGTTCAGGAAATATGATCACTTTTTTTGTGTGTGAGTAGGTATATTAACCCCAGGGCATGAATTGATTACTTTGAAGAACATAGGACATATTCATGAGCTGAAGCTCTAAGGTCAAGCATTCCCCTTCCATGCCTGTAGGGTGACAGTGTATATTTAGGCCAGAACTTTGCTTCTTATGGAGGTTCATCATCTTAGAAATCAGGTTATGCAATTCATGGCCCATAATGGGGCTGAACTGAGCTTTATTTATTTTATATCCATTTGTTGCTATTGGTGTCTTGAAAGATGAATTTGTATTGAGAGCACCAGGAGCTAAAAGAATTTGGCAGTTGATCCAGAAATAGTTAATTAACTCTTGTTTTCTGACCTGGGAATGATCTGGTTTAGAAATTATTCATAGCTGGTTTGTCATCTGGGACTGGCTTTATCCACACTCTGAATTCCATTGTCTCCTTACAAATAGCCAGTTTAGAAAATGTGAAATCATGAAAAGATGAAACATATACTTCAAAGTTCTGGGCATTGTGTCCTATGCCTATAATCCCAACACTTGGGAGGCTGAGGAAGGAGGTTCAACAGTTCAAGACAAGTCTGGACTATAGAAGGCACTTCAGGCCTGGTTTATATAGCAACGTCTTATCTCAAAAAAAGAATTAATGAGATGACAAAAATAATAGAATTAGAGAAATAATGAAAAACTAGTAGGGAAGCTAAATGTGAGTCAATCGATGTGTGAAATTCATTAGAATTAAATATGAAGTATATGAGGTACATGTCATAGTTCTTACCATTATCAGAAATAATCTAGAGGTGACTGCTTTGAGGATAATGTAAAATAGAAATTAGCTTCTGAAAAAATATAAAGGTTAATATTTTCTGTGAAAATGGCAGATATGTCACCATAGTAGCATTAACAGTAATTACTGGGAATAACTAATAAATATAGAAGATAGTCTTTTATTTCTATCTATTAATATGATATAGAAATGTACTTAGATTGTTTTTCACAATCTTGTGGATCAAGAGGACATGGGTGCTTTTGTCCATAGCATCTTAAGTTGCTGGTTATTGAGGATCAGTCACTTCTAAAATCAGTCAAAGTAATTAGGTAAACAGATTGTCGTGTCTTATAACTACAGTGGCATTAGAGTTAATCTCTGAGAAGCTCCATGGGATACAGGAAGGTAGAGTGTCATTCTCAGTAGAAAAGATTGTTTTTATTATTATTACTATTGTTTTGCTTTGAGACATTGCAAAATGTTTTATTTTCTATGCACATTATATACATTATATGAAAGATGCATATGGAAAGGAAAGGAACCTTGGATCTGCTTAGCATTTTCTAGAAACATACTTACCTAAATCTGTTATCTTTCTGTGCTTTTGTTGTAGCTGTTGCTTGATGTGTTGCATCAATTGTTTCAGGTTTA